GTGGGGGGGCGCTGGTGGATCCAGTTGCAAGCGCTTTGTGGCTGAAAGGGGAGCCCGCCCGCCTGCAGCCACCACCTGCCTCCCTGCTGACTCGGGCTCGGCCAGTAACGTGAGCCCCAGGGAGGGAGCCGCAGGGTGCCCTGGGTCCCCCCACCTCCGGCCACTCTCTGGCTGGGCATAGCCACCCAGCAGAGCGAATGCAGGTAAGAGAGGCCTGGGCTCCTGTCCTCTAGGGTGGGCTCCCGGTGCCAGGGCCCTGGCCATGCAGGACAGCGGCAGAGGCGGGCGGGGCTGGCTGCAGCTCTCTGCGCCCCTCCCCTAGGATGCTGCAGCCAGAGGGCCTCCAGGCCCCCGAGGAGGGGACAGCGGCTGGAATCCGGCGAGGTGACTGCATCGTCTGCTACTCAGCCTACGACCTCACCGGGCACTTGCCCCGACGCCTCTACTGCGGCCACACCTTCTGCCAGGCATGCGTGCGGCGGCTGGACATGCCGGCCCACGAGCAACGCTGGATCCCCTGCCCGCAGTGCCGCCAGAGCACACCCACGCCCCGGGGAGGGGTCGCCATGCTGGACCTCGACCTGGCCGCCTTCCTGGCCATCAAGGCCGAGAGGGAGCCGTCCCGCCTGGAGCCCCGGCGCCCCGTGCCCCTCAAAAGCAGCACTGCCGTCACCCAGCAGCCGGCTGTGCTCTGCCCCACCCTGGGCGCCCAGCCTCACTTCCCTCAGCCCACCTGCTGCTGCTGGGGCTGCAGCCACCTCTGCTGGGACCCCCCAGGCAGCCCCGAGGTCTGAGCTCTGGCTGCTGCAGCTCCTTGGGCAGGGCAGTGGCCGCTCGCGGCATGCGGGCCGCTGAACCCCTGACGGAGGCACAGGTTGCCCAGAACAGCCTGGGGACAGAGTGTCCCGGGTGCCGCACCCTATGGACACCCCCAGGCCACAGCCTAAGGTCAAGGGCTGTGGCCACAGTGCTGTGAGACTCTGTAGGGGACCAGTGACTGCCTGCCAAATCTGGCCAGGATGCCCAGACCCTGAGCTTGCCTGTGTGCAGACCT